TACCACATCAATAAAAATGTTTTGCTTTACTACACCTTTCCTAGGCTACTTTCACATATCAAAGCAGAGAAGACTGCTATCTCTTAGTTGGCCTCTCCTTTGCTCATCTGGGCGAAGCATTTTTAAAGGGCAAGCACAGTGAGTCAACTGTCTCCATGATTACACAGCTGTGGTAGTTTTGCTCACTTTTCTATTAATAATATTGCATGTTATTTTTAAGCTGGATTTTGTAACTTTGTTATTTCATCAGACGTTTCATATGCTTCTTTTGGTGTTTTAAAAACTGAACAGCTGCTTTTCACAAGCATTTATTAAATAGTTATAATTCAAATTTTAACTTCTAAATCTAAAACTTTGCTCAATTTCTAGCTGGCAAAAACAGTAGGCATGAATCATTCAAAATGTGATATGTGACAGGTGCAATGTGATGATAAAATATAATTTTAATTTCTACTGTTAGAGTAGAAAACTATGAATCCCACCTGGAATACTAACCAAAAGAAAGAAATGGTTCAAGTTATTATGCTAATTATTTATTAGAATTAAATTGCATTTGAAAAATCAGAATTAGCCCCAATTAGTTATTTTAGATGAAGAAAGAAAACAAGAACAAAATATTCTGTCACTTCAAAATTCACTAAATATCTAAGTCTCCAACAAATATATTCCGTTTTTTCCTTGAAGTGTTGTATCTCAGCCAAAATGCATCTACCTTTCACTTCAATGTCTATTTTGATTGCTCATCAGATGTCTCCCTGAACTTCAAACAGCTGTGCCTTCCTTAAGATTCCAAAAGCAAGGCTATAAACATAGGTCCTATCTAGCACTAATGGAGGATGCCAATAATTAATCAGATCATCTCTCTGATTTCTTATAAATTATCAGCAGCACATTCGGGTGGTTTAGGATAAGTACATTATTCGAGTTACTTCATCAGAGCACAGCAAAAATGCTACCCGCTCAACTCTGACAGAGTGAGAGAGCTAGATTCCAGTGCTGCCTCGGCCACCTCCCAGCTCTCTGACATCGGGAAAATTACAAGGAGATTTCCCATTCAAAGAAAGGGACCATTATATAATCTAGAAGATGAAAAAACACTGATAATTCTAAGAACAAGGGGAATTGTTCATGCCAAAATAAGTATTTCAATTTCAGTCCTGTTTGATTATGAAGATCGGAAGTAAAAGAAATCTGAAAGAAGTACGTCAATGAAGTGCTTCTTAGCCATAAAGAGACTTATGTTCACTAATTCATTGCATAGTCATTGTACCCACCATTTCTATTTTCATGTTATCCAGGAACCTCTATCTCCTGTAACCAATGGATAGATGCTTCTACCCTTAAACAGGGATGTGCACACTTTAACTTCCTTGTCGTTGACTATTTAACTATAAAAGAGCAAAAGTTATAACAGAAACCTGTGGAGAAGATATCTTACGTAACTTTTTTTGTCACCAACTAAAGATGAGCACATATCTCTTGTATTTTACCAAGTTTTTTTTCATTGGGGCTTGAGAGATAGCTCAGCGGATAAGAGCACTGACTATTCTTGCAGGTTCAAATCCCAGCACCCACATGGTGGCTAACAACTGTCTGAAACTCCAAGTCCAGGGGATTCGACGATCTCTCCTGTCCTTTGCAGGTGCTACACAAAGCAGGTGCAGTTACATACATGCAGGCATAACACTCATACACATAAAATAAAATTTTTAATTCATTGTTTTTGATGCAGTTGGTGAAAGTTCTTAACCTTAAAATTGATCAGGCTACATTAATCTATTTAAAATTTAGTCTGCACTTAAAATATTATAAAAAGTTGGTTAATTTAGGTGAAAATTTTCACTAAAAATAATAACAGAATAGCATACCATCCATTTAAAATATTCAAATGAAAAGTAAATAAAGCAAATGATTTGACATAATGAATAAAAAGAATGAATAGTTCATAAAAATAGACTCATAAAAGATATAAAATCTCACTAATAAAAAATTTAAACAATTGAGCCTGGCGTGGTGGCGCATGCCTGTAGTCCCAGCACTTGGGAGGCAAAGGCAGGCGGATCTCTGTGAGTTCGAGGCCAGCCTGGTCTACATAGTGAGTTCCAGGATAGCTAGGGCTACAGGGAAACCCTGCTTCAAAAAGACAAAAAAAAAAAAAAAATTAAAACAATTGACAAAAGTTCCTTATGTTGGGAATATACATTAAATTGGGTGGGTAGTAGTGAGAGTAGATGTGGATAGGGCAGGGCCTCTAAATACTTTTCAAATATATTGTATGAAAATCACAAAAAGTCAAGGAAATAGAGCAGCAAATGAATAATACAAAAACTTGAAAAAATAATAGTTGTGTATTACATATAAAATATTTTAAAAAGAATGACCTAACAAGTCCATGATTTGGGGCAATAAAACACTCGTACACTATTGATTAATATGCAAATTACTGAAATTTATAATAGAAATTTCATAAGCTATATCACAGTAAAAGAAATATCACTTTCTTCAGTATATAAAATTATATTTTATAATTTTTATCCTACATAAATACTTAAAAATAATGCCAAATTATATGTGTAAATGTTCATCACAACAATTTTATGGGGAAAAAATGGCCCAAAAAGTCCATCAAGACTGGCTATATAAATCTTATCCATATAATTAAATGCAATGCTGAAATTGAAACTATAGCATAAATTTTCATTGCTAATAAAGGAAATGTAAATTCATTAAAGAAAAAGTAACATATGAATACTATATACTTCATAAGGAACTTTTTGTAATGACAGCCTTTGAAGAGAGGCACTCTAAATAAAGTAAAGAATTTTATTTTTCTACTATCGCATATTTTTGGGACTTCAAATATTGGCAGTTACTGCTTTGTGCTTGTTGTTTGTTTATTGCTGTGTTAACAGGGATTACCTAGAAAATAACCCTTTTTTTTCTTTTAATTTACTTCAGTGTTTTTAAATAAAAGAGATCTATAAAGACCACTCAAAACATAGTATTATGTATTATTCATTATATTTATTGTCATTGTTTCATCAATGAATAACATGGATTTTTTTTCAATGAATAACATGGATGAACATTTAGCAGAAATTAACTTATTCTGTTGAATAGCATTAAGGAAATAATTAATGGAGTTACAAGTTTAATGTAGTCCAATGGAGTGCTAAGGATTTCAGAAAGCACTGGTGACAAAAGGCTCCCTAATGAATATAGTCAACAACAAAAATTCTGACAAAGCCATCTTAACATGTGAAATGGATATATTAACAAAACAATGCCCCTGCATTAATGATGTGGTCCACCACTTCCTCTCAGCCTAGAATACATACAACTCCTCTACTTTCCTGCTTAACCCCAACTCAGTCATTAAGACCAGCAGGAATCATCTGCTTATTGGAGCTGTCTTCCTTCATCCATTCTCCTTTACCCTTGTGATAGGATACTTGCTACTGAGAATGTGGTACTCAAACCAAAACCAGTTAACATAACACCGAATGGGACCATGATAAATAAATGATCATTACAGTAATTTTTATACGAAATAAACCCTAAATCTCTAGCACTAGCTAAATAACAGTTCAGTTATATAATCAAATGCAATGAAGCAATTTAAAAGATTGCATAAATTTATGTTGTTGATACAAAATTGCAGGACCCTGAGACTATGCCTAATGAATTCACAAGACCTATGCAAACTCAAGAAGTCAAAAACCAGGACAGAACTGGGGAAATGGGCAGCAGGCCCAAACCTTAGCTAAAGAACTATTGGCAGCTGATTACTGCTGGGTGAGGGAGAATTGACCTTCTTAAGGGAGTGACTCTAGATAAGCCTATCTAGACTAGGCCCTAGTGCATGAACTTGCACTGAAGGGACTCTGTAGACCTTAACATATATGACAGAATGAATGAAATCCAGATGGGGGAGGAGTATAAAAATGAGTAAGATGTTTCGTATGAAATACACAAAAATTCAATAAAAACTCAACAAAAAAAATTTTAAAGAAAGGAAAAATAAAAAAGCTAAAAGAATGTTTATTATCAAGGCTAAAATTTCAACTAAGTATCCATGTAGTTCCTGATACCAAACATTTATTATCTGCATTTAAAAACTATCACTTAATTTTAAAAAAATTGATATTTTTTAGCAAGACCTCAGGTGATTCATAGTCACATAGAAATCTGGAAAGCAGTAGGCCAAAGACATCCCTAGGTGTGTCCACAGTTTCTATGTATGCTTAAGTCAGACCACTCATCATAGGACACTGATATAATTTAGACTGTAAGATTGTTAAAGGCAAGATCTGAGGCTTTTGCTGCTGATGTTCTATATCCATTATATGACCCTCATAATAGATACTCCATAAATGTTTGTTAAGTAAATGAGTATATAAGCAAGAATGAATGGAAAAGATAAATATAATTAATTGCTTTTCAAAGTAACTCATCAATTATATGATACTACCAAAATATTCATTATAAAGACAGAAAATATAATTTGAAAAAAACTATTTGGGAAAAAAAACTCTCCATTTAATGTATTCATATCTTTGAAAAACACCACAAAATATTTTTTACTCCTTACGAAATAATACATGAAATTGAAGACCATACCTAAAGCTTCTTATGATTTTTGCTTGTATTTTTTTAAAAAACCCACAGTTGAATTACTATGTATCACCAATTTGAGTGTAAGCCAGCAGCGTGAAAAGATAGAAATAAATTACTTTTAGATCTCCATTGTTTTGTTGATGGTACACAAATTATGGTACTGCTTGTCTTAAAGACTGCAGCTGTTACTAGCTCTGCATCACTGTTTAATTACTGCCTTCAGATTTAATTCTGACCCATATCCCATTATAGGATATGCCCAGGCCAGATGAGCAGTTTCAGAAATCAGCAGTGACTACAGACACTTGCAGAATCACTACAATGGGAATCTAATAACTTAAAATTTCTTTAATACTCCTTCACGCCTCAGCCCAAATCCTTACCTGGCTGTTTCTCGCCACTCAGCATCCTCCCCTTCACGCCAGCAAATTTCATCCAGTTCTGTGAAAAGATCATGAGGAATATGCTCCTCATCATCATCCTCTGTTCCAAGAATAAACTGTACCCGTTGAGATGGGGTATCTGTGAAAAGACAGAGACATATAAACATGTATTTATCATCGCTATAGGCTTTAAATGCTCTAGTCAATACCTTTAATACAGCCTCTGAAGGGAGACCCCTATATGCGCAACCATAAAGCAATCCATGCTCTGCAAACATGTCCATCCAGGACTCCCATAAACCTCAACCATAAAGTGATCTCTGCTCTGCAAACAGATCCTGCTTTACAAACAAGTCCTTCCAAGACATTTATGGAGTTAAATTTGTTGTAGCAGATTGAAGTGGCGAAGATAGACACCTAGGTCGATGGAACAGCCTAGAAAGTCCGGGAAAACAATACAAATAAATATCACCTATTGATTTTGGAAAAATAGAGAATATATTTCAGCATTGGCTTTTTTGTGTGTTTTCAAAAAATAGTGTTGGGATAACTGGACATTCATATGCAAAAAAAAATTTGGACTAAATTTCATAGCTTATACCCAAACTAACTTAAACTATTACAGAATGTAAAATATAGTAGTATTAAAATTTTAGAAAAAAATCAGAAAAAATATTTTTTTTATTTCTGGACAGTTTTTAAATTTGGTAACAAATATGATATATGAAAGAAAATGTGAAACTTAAAATTTATTAAAATCTAAAAAGTCTTATTCAAGGAAAGATCCTTAAAATAGCATGAAGAGAAGTTACAGAGGAAGAGAAAAGAAAATATTTACAAACTGTATGTTCAATAATTCTTATGTCCTTGAATATATAACAAACAATTCAATAGTAAATAGCAAACAACTCACTAAAAATGAGAAAACCTTTTTTATAAAACTTTTTTTATGTGTATGAGTGTATTGCCTGCATGTGTGTAAGTGCACCTGAGTCATGCAATGTCCACCGAGGTCAGACAGAGGTGTCTGATCCCTTGGAACTGGAGTTATGGACAGTTGTTAACTGCCATGTGGGTGCTGGGAATTGAACTAGGGTTGTCTGTAAGGGATATCTATGCTCTTAACCACTGAGCAATCTCTCCAGCCCCAAGAAAATTTTTCTAACAGACCCTTCACCAGGGAAGAAATATAAATAGCAAATAAGCACATAAAAAAACTGTCACTGATTTGCCCTCATTTTAATGAAGTAAATCAGCAAAATGTGAAAGGTGACCTTATTTACCCTGAATGTTTAAGACAATGTATTACTCATAGAAAGAGCAATACCTGTCATACCATTATTATTTCTGTCCCGAGTCCTACTTCCCATCAAAGGATGTACACCTCACCAGAAGGTATTTCACATGCGGTGAGATATGTTACTGATGAGGACTAAGTAGGAAACCCAAACTATTCATAAAGGTAGCAATATCTACCAGATTTTTACATCACAAGGAGATAATATCTTTGTTATTACATTGGAAAGCACATGAGTCTACCTGACCTTTGTTCCAAAAAGAGATATCTCTGTCTTCCCAGACAGAATAATGCTTGTATAATGTCTGCTCATTATACAAACATCTTTGAGAAAACAATCATCCAGAAAGGCAGTCAGCCTCTGATCACAAGATGAGCAAGAATATGAGTGATTCATGGAGAATATTTCCCACCCATCTACATCATCATTCTGATCGGAAAAAAAAATCTATCTTTTTAATTCAAAGCCTTCTTTTTACATTTAAACTTCAAAATCCAGGCATGTGAGTGATCACTTGTAATTCCTGCACTCAATAGGCAGAGGAATAGAGAATTTAAGGTCATTTTGGGCTTCAGAGTGAGACCCTTTCTCAAAAAGAAAAAAACAAAAATCCAGAAAATGAGATCTTAAGCAAGGGATTGGAGAGATGGCTCAGCAGTTAAGAGCAATGGCTGCTCTTGCAGAGGACCTGGGTTTGATTCCCATCACCCACATAGTGGCTAACAACTGTCCATAACTTCAGTCCCAGGGGATCCAAAGCCCTCTTCTGACTTCCTGGGACATTGCAAGACATGGGTGAACTCATACACATGCAAGCAATGCACTCATAAACATAAAAAAACAAAAATTTTAAGCAAGTGCCAGATGACATGTAAACATAGGCAGCACACTGACTGAGAACATAATACCTGCTTAGGTTTATTGCTTATTCTTGTTTATACTTTCAATTTTTAATATTTTATTTTTTTATTCCTATAATAATATATAATTTTTTCATTCTTTAATTTTTTCTCTTAGTATGTACATTTTTGTATTCTAAGTATTCAGCTAAAATATTATAAATTGTATTTTGTTGGAAAAAGCTCTTACGTCTATCTTTTCTCTAGCCTAATATACATTTTTTCAGATGCTTCTTCTGCCTCTAACCCATATGCTTTGACCCTCATTCTTATTTATCCCCGTGCTGGATAGCTTTAGTGTCAACTTGACACACGTGGGTTGAGGGAGCCTCAATTGGCAAATTTCCTCTACTGGACTGGCCTGTGGCCTTGTCTGAGGGCATATTCTTGATGAGTGATGTGGGAGGACCCAGCCCACTGTGGGTGGTGCCACCCCTGGGCAGGTGGGCCCATGTTACATAAGAAAGTAGGCTGAGCAGGGGCCAGGGGAGCAAGCCAGTAAGCAGTGTTCCTCCATGGCCTGTGCTCCAGCTCCTGCCTCCAGGTTCCTACCCTGAGTTTCTACCTTGGGCTCCTGGATGAACTGTGACCCAGGATATGTAAGTTAAAAAACCCTTTCCTCCCCAAGTTGGTAGCGGTCAGAGTGTTTTGTCACAGCAATGAGAAAACAAATTAAGACAACACCTCTCAACACATGCCCTCTTCACTTCACTACCTAAATATACTACTTTTCCCACCAAGACCACAGTACTCCTCTCAACAAAGCCTGTATCCTATAAGCCAGGAGCATAGTGTCTTCCCTTGCAGCTGACACTGAGACTGTTATACAGTTTTTGCTCCAGTCAACCTTCCCTTTGAGCATGAATCCAAGTGAATACAATCAACCAGAAAATCACATAAAAAACACACAAACAAAAATAAAGGAAAAGGAAAAAGGGGGAGCAACAAACCGTAGGACATACACGTTATAACATTCACAAAATGCAACCAACCAACCAACCAACCAACCAACCAAGAAACAATGATACAGCACTCCACTATGACAATCCTACAAGCTGACAGTTTCTCAATGCCAGAAAACAAAGATGATAAAATAGATGAAATGCCAGAAATAGACTTCGGGGTCTGTGGCATAGCGATTTTTTCTGAATTAAAACATTCTCTCCTAGGAGAAAGCTGGTTAAGATTCAAGAAGTAAATAAAACTTGTGAGGCTCATGAAGTAAACAATGCACAAATCTCAGGACCTTCCTGAAATGTGTAAGATTCACAAGATCCCTTCCAAGTAGTAAAAGATACTGGGAAAGAGATTCTGAACTGCAGAGCTGCCTGTAAGTCATCCAGGGAACTCCAGGGATGCAGCTTTTGTGAGTCAATGCCCAACTAGGCTTGGGTGGGCTTTTCAGGGATGCAGTTGCCTTTTAGTCATCCATGCTCCTATAAGCAACCCCTCACCTATAAGTTACCCAAATAAACGCATCTGTTTTCCAAGTTGGACTTTGGTGGAATCCTTTCTTTGATACCATAAGTACTCTATCTGGAGTTAATAGATGTTTATTCATGTTTCCTTAGGAAAAGTCACACAACAGTATGGCAACTGAACAAGAACTGGCAGAACCAACATGAAATTATTTAAAGAGGCATGGTTCCATGACCCCTTGCACAGGTACTAGACATTCAGTGGAGGTTGATCTTTGCAAAGGTGAAGGTCCACAGGGGCAATCCAATCTAAAATTTCCCTATATGGTGTGAGATGATGTGCTTCCTAGCTGTAGTGGTAGTTTTATGCTTCCTGAGATGGTTAATGGTTCATGCAACCAAATCTGAGCTGTCTGAGAATGCAATATCTTTTGTGGGCAATCCCATGGTAGCCATCTTCCTCAATTCATTATGGAGTGGGATAGTTCCAGGATGAGAAGGGCCTGACAGTGTGGTGGGGTGCTCCTGAAAGCAGTTGAAAGACTGGGGAGTATACTGCAGTCCCTAAAAGTAGCACACACGAAGGTAGATTATTCACAAGCTGTTGTGGCAGTTGCAAAGCCTCTGCTAGGTAGAATAATAATGCAGCAAGAGCTGAGGTGGCTTTCCCAAAGGAACATTTCTGTTAAATGAAGGAATTACAACAGAAAAAGACATGGAGATGCTCGTTTCTGCTTTAGCCTCTGATTTGTCAGGGAAAGTAGAAAAAGGAAAGTTAAGATGGGGTATTAGCTTGTTGTTTCTTGCAGCTGGCAGGATGCAAGGGAAAGAATACAGGTTGAATAAAAGATAAAGAGCCTTTCCTGGCATCTAAAACCTTGAAAACCCATGGGGAAAATCAAATCGTAAGGAGGAAGAAAAGAAGGTAGAATTAACAGAAGCTACGCTTTAGGTTCAACCTTTAGTAGAGAGGGGAAAATAAATCATAATTCAACATCGAGACAGAATTTTTAATACTGGGTTAATGGATCGTTACAAAAACTATGGTAATCAAGAAATACTTGGCACCTGAACTGCTTGACATGGGAAAGACTTAAATAGGCCATGAAAGACCAGTCACAGCCTGGCTCATGAAGCTGTGGGACATGGGGTAAATGTGATCAGTTGGAGTACTGGGGAAGCAGAGGAACTGAGTAATATCCATTCCTCCTTGAGACAAATATTGCATAATTTAAGGCAAAACAAGGGACATCAGTCTTTAATATACAGGTTCATATGAGCCATTAAAGACAATTGGTTATCTCTGGTTCGGAACCCTATGAATATCAAGCACTGGAAGAGGATAAAGACAGGTGTTACTGACAGAACTAGGCATGGAGAAAGCAATGTTTGAAGAGGCCAGATAGGACTGAGTTCACAGGAAAGTTAACAAAGATGCTAATTCATCAGAGACCTCAGGAATAGTATGGAGCTTTAATGCCTTTGCTGAGTTCCATTGAGGTACATGATCCTTTATGAGGCAGG